TGCTGAAGGCAGCTTCCAGTGTTGGGCGAACCTTGAGAAGGATGACTAAACCACCTCCAGCGTAGCCTTAAGATCTGTTTCACATCAAACTCTTTCTTGCCGGACACTGACATCGTTACGCGAGGAAAGACAAAAAGCCTTCTCTCACAGAAAGGAAACGGAGCCTTTGTTATCTCTTGTTTCACTGCCTGTTCTGTAGAACTAACAAAAGCACAAGTGCTGAGAGAGAGAGAGCAGTCTTTTTTGTGTTCTCTCCCCTCCCCCGCTGCCTATGGTACACTGAATACTTCTAGCCTTCTAGCTGAAGCAGAGAGCTGCAGCTAACAGTGTAGGTGGGAACCCATACTGACAGGATGATGAGGTCAGACCTTAAACAAGTAAATCAGCTTAGCACAGGAAAGCAGCAACCACAACACACTCCAGCTGCTAGATTCGCAGGCTCTTAGCCCTCCCGCCTGGACTTGCAAATATCTAACCCAGCTTCTCCGCTAACCGGAGCTGCAGCTCAAAATCCAGGCAAGGGAGCAAAGGCAAAGTGTTTAAAGTCACTTCCTCCTAGACTCTCTCCATCGCCCCTCCCCCTGGTAGATTCATTTCTTGGTAGCCCACTTCTAAAAATGTGCCGCTTTGTCCTAGGAGAATTTTTGACAGAGGAATTCATTATAATCTATTTTGGGATTCTTATGGAAATTTTGAAAGTGATTCATTAAGGGAAAAGCATCTTGTCACCAGTCCTCTTATGCAGGTTTATAGTTATTATTTACAAAGCTCATCTAAAAATATGAAAACCTGAGCAATTTCAGAGAAAGAAAGTATGTTGCTTACCCACACACTTGGACAACACACACAGATGCACGTACATATACACACACACGCAAACACACACACAACACCAGTAGGGGATGGAGAAATTATATTTTAAGGCTCCATATGAAAAAAAGGGCAGTGCTTTTCTAAGCCGGATGGGTTAAAAGAGATTCTTCTCTCCAGTGACCAAAGCTTGAAAATGGATAGTCCATTCTGGCTCCATGCCCGTACAAACACTTCCTTATCGTGCCCTTTACTTTCACAGGCACTGTTAAAGGTTTATTTTCTTTGTTTGAAAGTCCTTATGAAAGGATGCTACAAGGCATGTTTTGAATTAAATCCAAATCACCACACTGTTCAGTAATAACTGTGCCCAAGGTTCTTAGAGATCTGATGAGACTCTCTACTTTGTACAGAGATAAACGCTTCTACAACAGAAAGCCGGAAATGCATATATATACACACACATATATTATATTTATGCACATACATATTAATGTACACACACACATAACCAATTGCTAGAGAACCCTAATACAGTAGATTTTTTCTCATACTCAGAAGTTAGTAAATACACACTCACAGATATATAGTTGACTTTTAATATGAATTATAAACAGGTTATTACCATCTTCAACGTTCCAACCTATTTTCCATTAGATAAGGCTCCTTAACCTTAGTGTTAGCATCTATAATCATGAGCTCATTGCTGCTACTCTACATGTAAATAATTAGAGAAGATCTTAAACACAGGTGATTCTTCTGATGAATTCCAGGCATGTACATGAGCACCGACAACTAAACATCAACTGCTTTCTTGTTATCTAGATTGGTAACCTCCTAGTAAACTCCTTGGGGTCAGTATCTGTGTTTTAGACAAACTGCCTCTAAAACACAATATTGGACATAAAGAAAGCAAACTGTAAATACCAGACAGAATGAATGAAATGTTATAATAGACATGTAAATATTATGTAGTAGGACCAAGAAATACTAAACTGACCATCTAAATAAATTCAAATAATACTTTCTTGGATGCCAGGCGTCTCTAACCTTATTTTTCTAATATGTTCTCCTAGCATACTATAATTTAGATATAATTCTGTATTTGCTTGTGTCCCCTTTACAATAAGATAAACATTTGTCAGAATCTTTGTTTGTACAATATATACTCTGTATTAACTTATCAAAAGTGTGCTTTTTAATAGTATGTCAACTACAACCATTTTACTGGATCTTGGACACAGAATTTCAGAGGGACTAAGAATGTAGGGACCAGCAGTTGACGTAATGGCTATGTCGCTGGCCTCCCATGTAGTCGACTGCATCTCCAGTCCGAGTCCCAGACCCTGTGGCTTAAACTCATGCTGGATGCATGTGCGTGCATGCCCAAAATCCTGAGAGGAGAATGGAGGAGAAGGAATTATGGTGTGGCCAATCCCCTCATGGGGTGATTACTCACTCTCTGTCTCTCTGTCTCTCTCTGTCTTTCTGGAAAGCACACACACCCTATAGCAAAACTCTTTCCAAAAAAAAAAAGGATGTATACAGAACTTCTAGAAAAACAAGAGAATACTATTTTATGAAGTATGAGGATAACTTTTAAATTTCTGATTACAAAAACAAATGTAAGCATATTCAAACAAAAATAAAGAAACTGTCTTTGATAGGAACCACATCTATTCATAATTTCTTTTCCATTGCCTTATTATCTATTCTGTACCTAATAATATTTAATCTATGTAGAATTAATGAATGATAATTTTTTAAGAGAGATTTTTCTACAGGGAGTGTGCGCTCGCCAGAGAGACAGAGACAGAGCGACAGAAAGCAAGAAATCACCCCCCAGGGGAGGATGGACATGCCACAATCTCTTTTCCTCCATTCTCCTCTTGGGATTTTGAGCACGCATACACATGAGCCAGGAGTGAATTTTAAGCCAAAGATCTGGTACTCAAACCATGGTTGACTACATAGGACTCCAGTGACATAACCATTACACCATCTTCTGGCCTCCAATGAATGACAAATTCTAACTGAATTTACAAACATGAATATACTTTCTCAGTGAAGGCTAGTATTTTAATATGAAAAAAAATGCAAAATAGCAATGAGTCTGAAATACTCATATAAATAATTACTTTTTTTTTTTTAGAGACAATTTTTTTTTTTCTATAGGGCATGTGCACTCACTGGAGAGACAGAGGGACACAGAGACAGAAAGTGAGAAATCATTGCCTGCGGGAATGGCCACACCAGAATCCCTTCTCCTCTGTTCTCCTCTAGGGAACTTGGGCACACATGCATATGCACCTGATGTAAGTTTTAAGCTGCTGGATGTGGGACTCAAACTGCGTTTGACTACATGAGAGTCCAGCAACACAATCATTACACCACCTGTTGGTCCCAGTTATTCATCTTCTTAAAAATTATTTATTTAATTTTATCTAGCATTATATTTTTTGTTTTTTTGTTTTTTGTTTTTATTTTGTTACACAACATTCATGCTCACCAGAGAGAGACACAGATAGAGGGAAAACAAACCACCAGATCTAGGACTTGAGCCATTGCTGACCATGTGGAAGTTTAGCACCTTAACCACTATGCTACCTGCTGGCTCCTAAATAATTACTTATTATATAAATGGGGGAACAGACCTAAAATTCAGTTGAATATTCAGGACAACTTGATAGCCATGTGCTCTCTTGATGTTGTGTTCTAAGCAAAAATGAGGCCAGGAAATTCAATTAGCTGCTAGGATGCTATATCACTACTATTAACATTATTCAAATTATTTGAGAATACTTAGAATTAATACTCATAATTATCTGTTTGTACAATTGTTTCTTATTCCTCTTAATTAGCTATCAACTTCCATGTATTGAAAGCTGCACATCAACAGCTTATCATGGTCCTGAGATTGAAACTATTTGGCATGAGCTATACTGGACAGCTCTAAAATGGTCAAAACAAAAGCAATGTCTGGTTTTGAAAGCATGTACATATGCTAAGCACACAATTTTAAAACAGCCCTGAACTATATATCATTGCACTCATACTCACTATGAGTGCTGAAAGAGGTAAACAAACAAACAAACAAACACTAATGTTGCCTGATGGCCACAGTCTACTGACCCCTGCAAAAAGAGATCAAAGAATCTTTATAATAAAATCCCTTCCATTCACATATACTTATTTAGGTGACCACATTTTTCAGTGCTCATGTCTATGAAAATGAACAGAAATAACACAATTGATGCTGACTCTTGTCCCATCCTAGAAATAAGTAATATTTATTATTCTTACATGAACTGTGTACAAAAGCATCCCCATGTGTTGCAATAAGTAATACATTCCCAATAAAATTATATATACACACACACACACACATACACATATGGTTTTGCAGTAGGGTGTGTGTGCTCACCAGAGAAAGACACAAAAAGGGAAAGCGAGAAATCACCTCCCAGCAGGGATAGCCACAATCACAATGCAATCCTTTCTCCTCCATTCTCTTCTCAGAATTTTGGGAACATATGCACACATTCCCAGAATGATTTTCAAGTGACCAGATCTGGGACTTGAACTGTGGTCAAACCCATGCAGGTCCAGTGCCTTAACTACCATGCCACTTGCTGACCCATTGTTTATTGTGTTTTTACAAAATATAAAATGCATTTCTGTTATTTTGTTAATTGTATATTAATAATTATAATACTTTCTCTATAAAAATGTGTTTAGGCTCTGAGGAAATTTTAAAAAGTAAAATTCAACAAGTATATGTATTTTTTCAATTCTCTTTTTCTGACAGAGGGCAGAGAAAGAGAGAGAGTAACCCTGGTGGAGCATGGCCACAACATTATTCTTTTTCCATCTATTTCTTCATCCTTTCAGGATTTGGGCCCTCATGCATGCCCAATATATATTTTTAGCCATCTCAACCAGAATTCAAACTGTGTTTGGCTGTGTACGATCCAGCTTTGGGTGCACAGGGCTTAACCACTGTGCTGTGGGGTTGGACCCATAGTATACATATATTTTTGTTGCAGAAATTATAATAAAGTAATCAATGAAACACTTTCAAGTAGAATTACATTACATTAAGAAATAATTTTTTTTATTCTTTTTTTATTCGCTATAGGGCGCATGCGTTCACCAGACAGACAGAGAGAGACATAGAGACAGAAAGCGAGAAATCACCCCCCAGGGGGGATGGTCACGCCGCAATCCCTTCTCCTCCATTCTCCTCTCGGGATCTTGGGCACGCACGCACACGTGCCCGGCGTGAGTTTTAAGCCACCGGGTCCTGGATGAGAACCGCGGTCGACTATGTGGGAGTCCAGCGACACAGCCATTATGCTAACTGCTGGTTCCCAAGAAATAATTCTTTTAGGAAAAATGAATGAAAACACAAGCTCAAGTAGAAAGTGAACTATTTAAGATTTCTGCTGCTAAAGAAAAAGTTTTTCATGTATTTAAGTGAGTGGTAGAAATATCAAATTACCACAGTATGTAGAGTCTATTGACCATATTTGAAATCGTGA